TAGGAAAAAGGGTTTAGTTGTGCTTATAGAAAAATCTTTGTCACAGTATCTGAAATTGTTAGTTTTATATGACTTCTAGGTGATGATATTCAGTGGAATTTGTTGTTTGAAAAAAAAAAAAGCAAAAAGAGTAAAATAAAGACAAGCTAATTTTTTGTCTATTGTCTCAAACAGTCCAGAAATCCAGAAGTTCTGATTATTTTGAAGATTTAAAACTTGAGTAGATGTTTATGGGACCTGGAGACGGTGTTGAGGCATGAGAACCTTCAGGTCATCTGAGGTGGAAGGGGCAATGTGGCGCTGATGCTGCTCTGGTTTGAACCCGGGCACGGTCTGAAGTGATGGAAGAGGTTTAGCTGTAATGAAAATCTTATTTTGAGGAGTTTTTTTTATTATTAACATGAACTTTTTACTATTTAAGTAACTCATTCAACTCAAAGTTTTTACTTCTAGTAAAAAAAAAAAAGTGTTCATCATCACAAACTTATGTGTGGAAGTTTTGATCAAATCCATCGCTCTGCTTCTTCCTTCCTCTCTTTTGTCTTCTGCCCTGCAGCTTATTGTTTTTCATTACAATTGATTTATGGGTCTAAAACACATGAATACACTCTGCTCCATGCAGAAACTCTAGCGTGAGTGTGTGTGAGTCACAGGATGTGAGAGGTAGTTAGGTTTTGTCTGAGATGTCTGCACCTCTAAACATACGCACAGTTCAGACGTAAGCCTGCCAGCTTGATCTTTACAGATTTAAGTCATTTCCTGTTCTTTTTACCATTTTGCATCATATACTGAAGTGGAGGAGCAGTGAACAGCAAATAAATTAAAACTGCCGATGATGTTAAACGTAAAGCCAAAAAGAGCAATAAGTGATTCCATTTTAGTGCTTCTATTTAGTTATTCTATTTGACATTTTAACTTAGTCTTAGTTGTTACCCAAATGTTATATCCAACACTTTTTGTCTTTTGAGGCATTAGATACTCTTTGACTTAATTTCTTGCTTTTCTCTTTATAATCATGTCCTTGTGCACACTCTAAGGTTATTTTACGTTTTAATCTTTAACAGTTACAGAACATTTATTCTCACATTTAAAACTTGTTTTCATAAAGTTATGTTTTAAGTTAACGGAATAGAAGAAAATCCTTCACAAAGTGCTGAAAACTCTGAAATGCTGCAGAGGTCTCCACAGCTGGATGAGCAAAGAGCGCCCACTAGTGGCTTTGTCACACAACCTCAGTCTGATGAAGGTTTAAAACAAAAGAACAGACAAGATGCAGGTTTTAGGCCCGATTTACATTATTAATCTGATTGCTAAAATGCAGATGATCTGGTCGGAATTATTCAATTTAATCTGTAAAAATCTCTTGAATACAGTTTAAACTACAATCTCAGTATTCAAAAATAGAATTAAATCAGATTGGCCATCACACACAGTTTGCTTTTCAGCACCCGGTCAGAAAAGAGGATGTCGTGAGTGGATTAGCTTTGTGTCGGAGGGAGACCCCGCGCCTGCTAGCCTAGCTGCCCTTCACAGAGAGCTGTTGGCTGGAAGCTCAGCTTTATGCACCCCCACCCCCAAAAGGCCAAAGGTTCCTTTCACCTTTGCTGCCTCTGCATCTCTCTGCTGAATCAACCCGACTACTGTCAGCAGTGAGAAGGAGAATGCTAAACTGCAATTTGAAGCTAAAGTGAAGCAAAACAAAATATTGGAAAGCGTTAATTATTTTAAAGAAGTGTATGAAAGTGAGATCAGATACCCATGCACACGCCAACCGTGATGCATCTTTGGGGCAGCAGTAGCTCAGGTGGTAGAGCGGGTTGCCTCATGATCGGAGGGTCATGGGTTCGATTCCAGCTCCCGCCAGGGGTATCCTGCTGTTGTGTCCTTGGGCAAGACACTTCACCCAACTTGCCTGTGTTAGTGGTGGTCAGAGGGGCCGACGGCGCCAAATGGCAGCTTCGCCTCTGTCAGACCTCCCCAGGGCGGCTGTGGCTACAAGTAGCTTACCATCACTAGCAGTGTGTGAATGTGAGAGTGTGTGAAAGCATCTTTGCGTGTCTAGAAAAGTGCTGTATAAGTTCAATGCATTATTATTATTATTATTATTATTATTACACAGCATGAACGTGGAAAACATGGATGCACGTGGCTTTTCAGCATCATCTGTTCTTGGCTAACTGCACTTGTAGGACGCTGTTCTGCCTCTGCGTGATGGTGTAGACTGAGGGTTTTTTGCTGCCTCTAGCGCAGAGACATCCCCCGCTGTTATTACTGGTTTTCTTGTATATTATGCAGTGGGCTGTTATATAAAGAGCTCCCTCCACTTTTTTTCCCTCTTGCATCTACCTCCCTGCTTCTGGTTCTTTCCCTCAGTGGGAGGATAATCCGGAATCCTCTCAGGAAAGCTTTGATCTCCCACACATCTTCCCTAATTTGGATGCGCAGTATCGGACCTGAGGGCTCTTGCAGAAATCCATTTTCTATCGAAGTGTTTCTGAGGTGACAAGAACAATATATTTCTCATTAGCTAATTACTGCAGTTGCCTTCAAGGGCTCCGCAGACAATAGCCTTGTCTAAATTGACAACGAAGCACAAACTCACCTTGTAATTGACCAGTGGTACTGATGCAAGTGCACTGTAGTGCTGCGGGACCTGCAGCCATAACGACACCTGCATCACTGATTCTGTCAGGAAAACATACCAACAGACAGATTGATGGCTGTGTTGAGTGAGCGAGTAAAGGGTGGGGGCATTTTTAGAGGATGCATCAGTGGCTGCAAGCAGAGGCGATGTGTGTGGTGTGTCCTCGTGACAGCTCAGCATGCCTGCCTCAGAAGGAAAAGGGAAAACCTCTCTCCTCCTATCCTTTTTTTTTTTTTTGCAGCCTAATGCTGTTGCCATGGCGTTAGGGTGTTCTGCTAATCGACACACACACACACACACACACACACACACACACACACACACACACACACACACACACACACACACACACACACACACACACACACACACACACACACACACACACACACACACACACACACACACACACACACACACACACACTTGCAGAAAAACAGAGAACCCGTGGGCTGATGTCCCCCGAAACTGGGGAAGGATGCAATTATCTGCCTTCTTTTTTTTGTCACCTTCTTCGACCATCTTTCCCACTTTGTTAAAAATAGCTTCCACAGACACCCTGTCGGCATCCAATATTATTGTGGGATGCAGATAATGAACAGCCATATGAGGTCTCGACAATGGCTGCTGCACTTGGTTGTCAGGAGACAACAGAGAATTCAAAAAGGGGAGTAGAATAGCAGCGGGTAATAATGGAGGTGATGTACGCTCACATTCCACAAAATGTGTCGTTATTGTTTCGCCGTGGAGGGGAGGAGTTGTTTAACAGCTTAATGACATTCCCTCACAGGAGCTGACTTGATCTAAAGGGCTTAAAGAGGGAATTACAGGGTTGGCATTCAAGAGTTTTAGAACAGAGGAGGCTGAATAGATTCCATCAGTGAAATGCAGCTTCACAGCCTCATATATGATGTTTAACTGTAATTAGGGCTCCCCTCTCCTCCCCACTTCAGTCAGATCATGTGATCTGACTAGAGCGTTGCTGGGGCTGACAGAATATAGCAGGGGGGAAAAGAAGATGAGGAAGGGAGAGAAACAGGGAAAGGAGGGGTGAGTGAGCGCTACAGCAGAGAGCATCGAAGCGAGACGAATCCAGTGGAGGAACCCCCCCTCCAGTCAGATGAACATCGCAGTTTCACTCCCTCCTCCTCCTCCTGTGTTTTTCCCCTCCTCCTATTCCTGCTTCCTTTCCATTATTCATCAGTGCGCTGAGTCCCCATCTCACGGCTCCAGCCAAACACACTGGATCTTCTAACCCGCCTGATTTTTCAAGCATCCATCAATCGGTACATTTGCAAGCATGGAGGCTGGGAGCTGGCCCTTTTCTGCAGCCAACAGGGAGAGTGAGCCGTCATAAAGCTACTCGCTTTGCTTCTGGGTAGAGAATCACCAGAGGAGAAAAGGGAGCATTTTTTTGGCGCTAAAGGAACCTTGTTTGTCTTCCTTTATTTGATTCTCGACTGGATTACAGTTCTGGCTTTGTGTAGGAACGAGAAGCCGTCCAAAATGCCTGAAGCCAACTACCTGCTGTCGGTGTCTTGGGGTTACATTAAGGTGTGTGGCGTTTACCTACCTAGCTGTTTGGGATACCACACTCGTCTGCTTCTGCTTTTCTGTCCTGCTAAATCATTACATTTAGATTTTATTTGGTGCCTTAATTCAATTCAATTCAAAAATACTTTATTAATCCCAGAGGGAAATGGAGGGTTTTCCCTTAATGGAGGGTTTCTGGAATTCTACATGACGCAGAAAGATTTCATTACTGTGGTTGGACGAGGATATGACAGAATGGTGTTTTGAGGCTCAAGCTCCATCTTGAGCCCTCTGCAGAGCAGTGTGTGTGCATGCACATGCATGTCCGTCATAAACATCTGCTGCTGCAGTGGGTTTCTGTTGTCAACGCGTTTATTTAATCAAACTGTTTTATCGTGAGGGAATTGTTCAGAGTGTATTTTCTAAACAGGATGTTATAAAGGCTGCCGATTTTCCTTTCGGCATCATTAAAATTCCTTTACATCGATGCAACTCCAGCAACTAAAGGCCCCGATAAAATTTAATTCAGCTCAATAAAACGTAAAATTTGGTCCCTGTGGAGAAATGAAAAGATTGTCCTTTCACTGGTAACACCATTAATGTGGTTTGCATTGTAACAAATTCCAGATGGGGAGGAAAATACTCCACGCCACCCCACCCCCCACTGATTAAGCTGTAATCAAATAGCATTCTTGACCTAATGGAATAGGATTGTTGTGTTTTCATGGGATCTTGTACAATAATTTCTCCAAGGTTTTCCCTGAAGTAGAAAATGATGGCATATTTCTCTCCTTCTCTCCCCTCCTCTTTTTCTCTCCCGCAGTTTAAGCGGATGTTGAATCGGGAGCTGACGCACCTATCCGAGATGAGTCGGTCTGGGAATCAGGTGTCCGAATTCATCTCCAACACCTTCCTAGGTAAAAGAAAACCTTGTGTTCAAAAATCACACCGTTAAGATTCCCTCTACTTCAATAGTCCAGATCTAATCTCCACAGATGTAATTATAACTGCTCCAAAATAAAAAGTATGGAAATGTGCATCTGTTTTCAGATTTGGGAATTTCTCTGAAGCTTTGCCGCATTATTCTAGAAGGCTCAGTCTTTAACGTGAGGCTAAGCCGTGGAAGTTGCTCTGGATGGCTTTTCTGTGGGGGCGTACCATGAAAATAAAACTGCGCCATGAAGCCTTGCTGGGGTGTCTGTAGAAGAAAATCTGAATAAGAGAACTTATTTAAATGGCAGACAACAAAATTTAGCACTGGCTTCAAATTCAAGTGGGTGTAGAAATAGCCCTTCTTTATGTTCATGATAGTGAATTAAAACTTTTAATAAGCAAAAGTCTAAAATTCATCCGAAGTAAATATTTGGAGTCCACAAAAATACGATGACATCTAAGATGGACAATTATTTGAAGAAACTGCAATATGCAGACAAAAAAGATGATAGATTCCAGACAAACAGGTGTGGGAGGGAGCGACATCTACAGAGGAACCCCCTTTGCTGGCAGGGATAAGCTTATCTGATCGGGTGACTCATCTCCATCATGCATCTCTGTCAGCAGGAGCACCGTGTTGTCCCTTACCTTTCCTCCCCTTCCTATTGACCCAAAACTCCAAGCAGAGACGACTATCACTTGGATAAAGAAATGAGGATTACCCTACAAGTGCTAGAGTGGAAAAAAATGAAAGGTGCCTATTAATAAGTGGGGTGGGGGCTGAAGCAGCACAGCTGGCCTAGTGTGGCCTTAACTGACCAGCAGGACTGTTTAATCCGTCCATCCGAGGAAACTGCATTCACGTTGTTGCTGCTCGGATGTCTGCTTCCATTAAAGCACTTATTCTGGATCAGAGATCAGTTAGAAATCCTGTTTAAGACCATCTGCTTTCTACGTTTGGTTTTTCGGGCTGATTTAAGGGGTAAATGGTAAAGCTGGTGCTCCCTGGACAAGTTAAGATCCTTGTATTTGAATCAGAACATCTGAGAAGGCTTGCCGCTCAGTTGTGTCCTTTGTCACTGCCGTTGCAGTCCTCCCTAAATCCCTCTGATCAGCCAGCAGCACAACACACCTAGCTAAGGAAATATATTGTGTCTAAAGTCTGCATCTCTCAGGACATCTATGGAAGAGGATGAAAAGCAGAAATAGATTTTCCCCATTTCTCTCGTTTTTGCTCAATTTGAAAGCAGACAGTGACAGTTAATAATATAAAATACAAAAATCTGCATCAGTACCATTCAACATAATCATTTAAAAAGTGGTTTTACATTTTCTATATATATATATATATATCTAGGTCACACGTTACTGTCAATATTCAGGAGTTGTCTCACAACAGAGGGCGATATGTAGGGATGCAACGGTACCACTTTTTTTCCAAGCCGATACGATGCCGATACTTGGATCTGAGTACTCGCCGATACCGATTAACGTTACTTCTACCACACAAAAAAATGCAATGATTTGGAATGCAGATTTTATTTTCTTCTCATCTTTCAACAGGAAAAGACTGTGAGGTAGATAAAAAGTAAAATATATGAATAGAAATCTTCACAAAACTAAAATATTAGGTGAACAGAAATGACAAGTTACAGTGAAGCCATTTTCAAGCAGCTGCATTGGTATCGGTTCCTGGTATCGGTTAGCTTTTATCGATACCGATACTGGTAATCGATACCGATACCTAGCGATATGTCTGGATGGGCCTAATTACCCATTTTCAACGACCAGAGTAAGGAGGAGGAAGCGAACGACAAGAGGAAAGGCAGACACAACAGTCCGAGTGTGAAAGGGATTATTTAGATTACAGCTGGTAATTGAATAGTTCTCCATGTGGGGCTGAGTTCAGGTCTAACCCGCGTACATGCAGAGACAGTTCCCCTGGGGAACCCCATACGTGTCAGAAAACAAATGTAATCCTTTTTTTGCTGCCAAAAGGACATAAGATGTAGAGTTTTCAGACCAGACCAAGTAATGTTTTTAACCAAGTCTGAGACTTATTCTGAGTGAATTTATAGAACTGTAACTGGTGCAGCAGCTCCTCAAATGGTGTGAAACTGCAGGTGGAACAGGAACATGAATGAAAAAAGAGAGAAGACATGTGATGAATGAACAAGTGAGAATTAGATCCCTCAGAAAATAACCTGCAGCAGGTGTCCAAACAGTGCACCTGGGTTTTTATTTAAACCGGCCACCTGTAGTTTATTTAAAACACACTCGGACTCATGGAGGAGTCCACGCTTTCAGAGCAAAAGAAATGTAATTTCTGAAATATTTGTCTACACAGACAAACAGAATGAGGTGGAAATCCCGTCACCGACCTCCAAAACACGAGAGAAGAAGAAGCAGCAGAAGCAGCAGCTGATGACACAGATCAGTGGGGTGAAGAAGGTTTCTCATGGGTCCTCGCTCTCCAACAGCAGCATATCGCGCTTTGGCGTCAAAACCGATAAAGAGGAGCCATTGTCCAAGGAGCTGGAGGACCTGAACAAGTGGGGTCTAAACATCTTTAGCGTTTCAGAGTACTCCTACAACCGACCGCTCACCTGCATCATGTACGCCATCTTCCAGGTAAGACGTGTGCTGATTTTACCCGTGTTATCCAACACGCGTGTGATTAAAACTACTAATGCAAATCCTTAGCTAACTAGAGACTTTTGTTGTTATAGGAGCGGGACCTGCTAAAGACATTTAAGATTCCAGCAGATACGTTTGTGGCTTACATGATGACGCTGGAGGATCACTACCATTCAGATGTGGCATACCATAATAGTCTACATGCTGCTGACGTTGCTCAGTCAACACACATTCTTCTCTCCACTCCTGTTCTGGATGTAAGCCCTGTTGTGATATAATCTTATTTACTTTCAGCTGTTTTGTTCATGCTGTCAGGACAGAGCGCTCTGTTTTAACAAGATTTAGTTCTCCGTCCTTTAGCACATGAAACACTCACCGTCTTATATCTTATAGAACTCATAAAGGATAGAAGCTTTTATGTCATCTCTCGTGCCTTTTTGCTTGTTTTCGTGACAGAACCATAGTCTTTTGTCAAATCTATTTTATGACTTTTTATGTTTTTTCTGTCCTCCACAGGCGGTTTTCACAGACCTTGAGATCCTAGCAGCTATTTTTGCTGCAGCTATCCATGATGTCGATCATCCTGGAGTATCAAACCAATTTCTAATCAATACCAGTAAGTTCAAAGTGTGGATTTTGACCAAATTAGCTATAATTGTAAGATTTTTCTAAAAAATAAAAAAAAAAGAATAAAATAACAGAAATGTCCGATAGCAGAGTTACTGAAGTCTGTTTTTAATTACCATGCAGACTCTGAGCTGGCCCTGATGTACAACGATGAGTCTGTCTTGGAGAACCATCACTTGGCTGTAGGCTTCAAGCTGCTACAGGAAGACAACTGTGACATCTTTCAAAACCTCACAAAGAAGCAGAGACAGTCCCTGCGCAAGATGGTCATTGACATGGTACGATGATAGGATTCATATTCGTATCTATAAATAATTGAATGTTGGTATTAATGGCGTCTTCTCAACTCCTCTGCAGGTTTTGGCCACTGACATGACCAAACACATGAGTCTGTTGGCTGATCTGAAGACGATGGTGGAGACTAAGAAGGTGACTAGCTCTGGAGTTCTGCTGCTAGACAATTACACCGACAGGATACAGGTGCGTGTCACTGCCAAAAATCAACAAACACAAAATAAACAAGTGGCTGAGTTGTAAAAATGTCTTTTCTAGGTGCTGCGTAACATGGTGCACTGTGCTGATCTGAGTAATCCCACTAAGTCTTTGGAGTTGTATCGTCAGTGGACTGACCGCATCATGGAAGAGTTTTTCCACCAGGGAGACCGAGAGAGGGAGAGGGGAATGGAGATCAGCCCCATGTGTGATAAACACACAGCCTCTGTAGAGAAGAGCCAGGTGTGTAAACAAATAAATACGGCCAGAAGACTTGGATAAATGTAACCAGTTAGAAACTGCTAACACGTGATTGTCTGTTCCAGGTGGGATTTATCGACTACATCGTTCACCCTCTGTGGGAAACCTGGGCAGACCTGGTACACCCTGATGCCCAGGACATTCTGGACACTTTAGAGGATAACAGGAACTGGTACCAGAGCATGATTCCCCAGAGTCCCTCCCCGCCCTTCTACGATCAGGGCACGCATGGACACAGCGGGGGAACAGGAATACAAGGGGGAGGAGAGAAATTTCAGTTTGATGTGACTTTGGAGGAAGAGGACTTGGATGGAATGGAAAAATACGGTGAAGGAGAGGAAGACGAGGATGACGAAGAGTTGGAAGAGGAGGAGGAGGACAGTCTTGGAAATTCTCGTCCTCCTCCCCAGGACTACTTGGACAGTCAGTTGCCCGACGACGGTACCATGATCGAGCCTACATCGGCAATAGAGATTGTGACGCATGAAGCATCGCCCACAGACACATAGGGCTTCCATCAGCGCGCTCACATGGTAGTTTTAGAGTCTGTTGGAAAACAGGGGAAATCCTCTTGCAGCTGTGCTTTTTAATAAGCCCACAGAGGCAAAGGCTTAGTTTTGGCCCGCGCAGGGGCATCTTGCACTTGGGTTGTTGAAGCCGGACACGGACTGGCAGTTTCAGAGAGGTGGCTTCAGAGTTCTCAGGAATTACTTACTGCAAACATTTTAGTCTCTATGGACGAGAGGGGAACTTGAAGGATTTCAGCCAGTTTGGAAAATGGTTTCTTTTCTTTTCTGGACTGACATTAAATGGACATCGACACTACTGAGAGAACTTTTGTACCGTGACTTATTTTTTCTATGGATAAATGATCTAGAAGTAGCATAGAATGAGATCTACTAATGGAGACACATTTGTATAGCGAAAGAGAAGCGTTTACTTTTTCTGTACCATTTGTCGAGAGACTTTTGTGTGCCTTTTTTACAACTGTCTTTATAATAGTTTTTTATTTATTGAACACTCTAGCGTCTATGTGAAATGTTTTTTTCCTTAACTAAAAATATTTTAAAAGGTTTTCGTATGTCAAAGAGATAAGTCTTCCATGTATTGGGCAATAGAGAGATCCAAGCAACTCTTGGACCACTCATCTACAGTAAATGGGAAAATACACGTGTCGCCTTGTAATCTGAGCACAAGTTTTCCTTTACATATGGAGTTCAAACATGTTCAGCTGTGGTTCACTTTACATGGTTATCAGGATCCCAGCAAAACACATCACCATTTATTACAGCTCCACTTTACGTTTGGCTGCAAACCATTGGGCCTTCCTGTTGTTCCACACCAAAACATGAATTTAAAAGAGGGATACAAAGTGTTTCAGTTATTTTGGAGTGAAATGGCTGTAGCATCCAGCTAATAATAAAAAGCAGATATGTATAAAGGTCTGGCCCCAGATCAATGCTAAAATTAGGGATGTCCTGTTCCGATATCAGAAGTCATTTGATATTGGCCCAAAAACAGTGTATCGGATTATTTCGGACTGCATCGAAAATCTCTGATATCAACAGTCTGGTAAGGTTCACATTTTTGCAACCAATGGTTAGAAAAAATTGGAAATGTTTTCATTTCACTGTTGCTGGCTCTTGTTCTCGATTTAGTAATATCAAATGATCAAGCCTTTCATACATTCCACACTATGAAATAGGTAAAAGTATGTATGATTTGGGCTGAAATTGTATGGGATTGATATCGGTATCGGTCAATACCGAAGGCTGAAACATCGGTATCGAATCAAAAGGGAAAAAGTTGTATCGGGACATCCCTAGCTTAAATAGAAAGTCTGGGATAAAATTCACAACAGTGTTGAGTCTATTTCTATCCTACAGGTCTGCTACTGTCCTAATAATCCTGTTTGTTGGAAGAAGTTCTGAACCTAGGTCTGGCTGATGCAACACTTCCTCCATCAGGTCCAAACCACAAAGCTAATGGTGTTTTTATAGCCGCCTGTCAAAAGGTGCTCTAGATCCTGATTGCTGATAGAAATTACATGATTTACAAATCCCTCTGGGCTCCTCTGACACAACCCCAAAACAACTAGGCCAACTATTTCTCCCTCTGAATCCCTAAAGTGCTGCTTCTGCTCATTGACGTCAGTAGATAATTATAATTTTTTCATCCCCCAGCTGTTTAAAGTTTCCACAACTACTAGAAATTTGCCCTGGCAGGGTCGTTGGATTCAGTGTGGCAGAAAAGTTTTCCATAAATAAATAAATACATTGTTGAGTAAAATGGCCTAAATTGTTTGCAGACCTCTTACTATTCACAACTGATATATATATATTTTTTGGGGGGGGCCTAGTTGCATCACCTTTCCACTTTTACGTAGGTTTACTGATGCTCAAAGGTACTTGATTTAGTTCCCATAAGGCAGGCTACAGTGGGAGTTGTGGAGAGTGCGTTTTGTACGGGAGTGTGTCTGTCTCGCATGTCTGGGTCATGCCTTACCCCATCACCCCCATAGCCGTCTTTGCCGTTTGAGCTCAAGTTGGTCCTTTTGCTGTTTATAACAGTGTGTATTTATTCTACACTTTAAGCTTGTAAATAAGAAATATTGGTTCAGTGTAAAACCTATTTTAATTTATATGCACTTGCATTACCTGGAGTGGTGGTGTCTCATGTAGAAGACTCTGGAATAGTCTTTTTTATATAAATGTATTCTATTGTTTTTTATAAATATATATAAATATATTAAGTATATATTCACATGTTTGAGTGCCCAGAAGAGTGGCAGCTAAAGAGGCATGTGGTTGTCATATGAAAACCTTGTAACTCCGACTTTATTTTTACATAAAAACTAAAATGTTCAAAATTGAGTATGATGCACAAACATTAAACCAAAAATGTTGTTACTCTGGTTTATATATTCTAAATATCCTAAAACCTACTACTCTTTATTTTCAGTTTTGCCCAAATTAAATCAGTTTTGGACTAGACCTTACCTACGAGGTTTTTGTCTGACATCAGTGATTTGGTAACCCGGAGGCAACATAGAGGACATGTTAAACTGCATAAACTTGGATATAAGATAAATAAGAAAAGCTAAGGAATGCTGAAGCATAGGTTAAGTACAGAGTTAGCTTTAATTGTCTTTACCCAAGCTTCTCCATCCAGCATTTGGACACAGTGCTAATGTAAGTACAACTGACATACACAAAGTGATCGTCTCTTTTTACACCCAACACACTATATGTAAAAGTAGGGGACAGTATTGGTAGCATGCTACAATATGCCCAGCACTGATGTGAATTGTTAAGAGTCAACAACGACCCATGATCTTATGTAACTGACTGTGCTAATGTGTGAACTCTTCTGACCAAACTCGTTAGCAGTTTTGAAATTCAAAATTGTCAGTATTACTGTTATCTATGTTCAAGCCTTTTTGGTCCTAGTTGTGTCCAATCGGTTAGCCAGAATTTAGCACTATCTGCATGAGAGAACTTTTTTTTTTTTACTGTCAATATGTTAATGTCCGCCAGTTGTTGCAGGTGGGTTATTAAATGTTTCACACAATGTATGGTATATTATTGTATATTGTGTTTAAAAATAAATCTGAAAATACTTTTTCTATGAAGTGATTAAAAGCAAAGCATGAATATATTCATTTTGTGTCTGTTGCTTGGTCACCAAGAGCAAATCGGGTCACAGCTGTGCATGTGGTGTCCACATGTTGGTCACACTAGACTAGGTTGCTACACAACTGCACAAACACAAGAGTCTATGTTTACAGTAATTGAACACCTGAGAATTTTCCCATGATAAATCAATGGTCTACTCTAAAATTTTCGTTAGATATTCCTAAAACCTAACCTTAACAACAATCAATGAGAACATACCAAGCTGTGACTGATTAAAACATTTAAACACAATAAGAGATTTTAAAGGGCTGCATTAGAAAATGGTAACAGTCTGAGAATTACAACATATAAAGATACTTTGCTGTAAAAGAAAAAAAAAACCTGGTTTGAGACTGCAGCTCACTGATTAAAACATTTATCACGACAAACAGGATTTCCTTTCATTTTCTAACAACTGCATCAGTTTATTATATATTTTGTCAGGGATCATGGAAAAGAAAACAATTTCACAGAGAAGAGCTGCTTTGTTTACACGCTCCAAATTTCCCCTATCTGATTCAAATCTGGGTTGATCGGAAATCTCAGATCTCTGTTTACATGGACACTTACTCAAATGATCCGATCATGCCGTGAGTATACATGCACCAATCAGATTAAATAGGATGAGCATGCGCAGAGTTGTCTTTCCCAGAATAAAAATTGTTAACAAACGCCATCTTGTCTGCACGTCTTTTCACTCGCATTTTATTTTCTCCCATTATGGACCAGTTCTGTTAACCTCCCACCACGTTTTCAACTTGTCCTGAGCATCTGCAAAGGCAGAAAGACGTCACGCTGAAGTTGTACACGTGCGCAGGGCATTATTTTACTCCAGCAATTCTAATGGTGTGTCCATGGACGTCAGTGGGAATGATGATGGAACAAAACCATTTTAATTCCGATTGGGCCGTATCGGATCAGAATATTCCAATTAACATGTTTACATGAAGAATGTTTGATCTGATAGAGCGTTCATTCTGATTACTTGTGGCTATGTAAAAGTAGCTATTGAAGATTGTGTGGATCTATTCAAATGATCTCCACGCCTTAAAGTCCGTTAATGAAAATATAAACTGCATACCCAAAATCTATATTGCAACCGGATGAATCCTTTGTCTCCTGAATATAGTGGGATGCTAAGTTCTGACAGCATTGTTAATCTTCATGATTTTCCTGTATAAATCGTTAGTCGTTACAATAAAATATTTCAGTTACATATGACATATAGCAGACACGCAGTGATATTTGAGAAGTGATACAAAGTTTATAGGATTTACTGAACGTGTGCAATAACTGTTTACACAAAATTAAGCAGGTGCATACATGTGGGCAGTAGGGCTGCAACGATTCGTCAACGTTGTCGACAAATATCCACAATAGAAATAGTCGGCAATGAATTTCATTGTCGACGTTGTCGCCAGATGCGTTTTTTCCGACCGAGTGAGGCATATCACTTCATTACAATCTCTGCCGAGAGTCGCACATGCGCAATAGCTTCTCTGCTGAGCGCCAACTAACAGAAATGGCAGTGTCCAACACAGCAGCTACGGGTACCAAAACATCAAAGGTTTGGGGGCCTTCTAGCCTGGATTTGGCGAATAAAAAGATTACTTGCATTATTTGCAAAGCAGTCCTTGCGTATCACGGCAGTACCTCGGTGATGCATGAACACTTAGAGAAAGCATGTCAGACAGTTGAATGAAACAGAGTCTGACTCACCTCGGTAAGATTCAAATAACACAAAAGCCAATATGTTTTGGATGTACATTGTACATTTTTTAAACATATTCTTGCTTTAAAAAAAGAGGGATTTAATGTTATGCCCGACTGTGCCTGACAACAGTATTTTAATTTTATTTATGCATTTAGGTCTATACTGACTGGGCACTGTGCCTAATTGGTGTTAGGGCATTTTTATTTACTCCATCCATCCATCCATTTTCATCCGCTTATCCGGAGTCGGGTCGCGGGGGCAGTAGCCTAAGGCGAGAGGCCCAGACTTCTCTCTCCCCAGCCACTTGGGCCAGCTCCCCTGGGGGAATCCCAAGACGTTCCCTGGCCAGGTGAACGTCTGGCCCTCCACCGTGTCCTGGATCTACCTTTAGGGCTCCTCCCGGTTGGACGTGCCCGGAAAACCTCACCAGGGAGGCATCCAGGAGGCATCCTGACCAAATGCCCGAGCCACCTCAACTGGCTCCTCTCGATGTGGTAAATTTTTATTTACTTTTAGTATGAATTGGCCTATCAGCAGTAAAGTTCAATAAAATATGCATTTTCCATCGAAGTACCCATTTTTTTGTGCTTATTATCATTTTTCACATAATTAAAGCAATCTCATGCTAAATTTAAGAAAAATGTAATAATTATCCAATGAATCGGGTAATCGTTTCAATAGTCGGTGAATAGTCGACTATTAAAATAGTTGTTAGTTGCAGCCCTAGTGGGCACTGTTGTCATTTTATTTATTCCAAAACATTTTGAACTAATTATTGGAACTCTAAATTGGTTTAGTAAACTCAGTGACCCTTGACCTCCATACACAGGTGAATCATGTTATGAGAAAGAGTATTTGAGGGGCCAGTTGTACGTTTCCCTCCTCTGAATATTCTCTGAAGAGTAGCAACATGGGGTCTCAAAACTACTCTCACTTGAAAACAAACATTGTTCACCATCATGGTTTAGGGGAAGGATACAGAAAGCTGTCTCAGTGGTTTCAGATGTCTGTTTCCACAGTGAGGACGATATTGAGGAAATGGAAGACCGCAGGCACAGTTCAAGTTAAGGCTCCAAATGGCAGACCAAGAAAAATGTCAGATGAACAGAAGTGAAGAATGGTCAAGCAGTCAGAGTCAACCCACAGACCTGAACCAAAGACCTACAACATCATCTTGCTGCAGATGGAGTCACTGTGCATCGTTCAGCTATTTGGTACACTTTACACAAGGAGATGCTGTATGTGAGAGTGACGCAGAGGAAGCCTTTTCTCCTCCCTCAGCACAAACAGACCTGCTTGAGGTATGCTGAAGCACATTTAGACAAGCCAGCTACATTTTGGAATACGGTGCTGTGGACTGAGGAAACTAAAACTGAGTTATCTGGGCATAACAAGGGGCGTTATGCATGGAGGAAAACGAACACAGCAGTCCAATAAAAACACCTGCTACCTACAGTAAAACATGGTGGTGGTTCCATCATGCTGTGGGGCTGTGGCCAGTGCAGGGACTGGGAATCTTGTTAAAGTTGAGGGGACACATGGATTCCTCTCAATATCAGCAGATTCTGGAGACCAATGTCCAGCGGCCTCATTTATCAACCGTACTTACACACAGATCTGTGTACGAATTTATGCATAGTGTGGCATTTACCAATTTGTACTTGTGCGTAGGAATGTTCCTAATCTGAACCCATGCGTACGAACAGCGTCTAGTGGTAGAACGGGGAACCGCAGCTCTGAATGTCTCAGTCATCCATGCGTGTTGCTCATCTACAAATTATATTTACCCAATAAATAATTATTTAGGTGGACAATACAGCTGTGTCTCATTGTTAAACCCTAAAACCCATAAAAGACACCCGCGCCCGACAGGAATCTGACATTATCAATATCATGGCTGATCTGTGTTATTTGAGGATTTAACAGATTGTGCTCTCTGGAGGGAACGCGTTCTCTGTGAGCGCACTGATCTCAAAGGAAATCCTTCTTCTTTACTGTGGTTTTGGACCCTTAGTGGCACGAGAGACAAACCGCACGAGTCCGATTCCACTTCATATTTTATTTTACAACTATGAGAACCCTCCAGAACCTCCTCTGCTCCACGATCATACACATCGCATTGCCAAAATAACCAGACTGAATGACAGCTCAAAGGATGCTGCACTCTCAGACAACATTTCCAAATAAAACTATCTCAAAACAGAACAACTCCTTAAATGTAAAATGTAAATGACAACCCGTTACTCTACGATTTAACAGATTTGCTCTTTTATTTATTCCCGATGGGAACCTCTCCTCTGTCTGAGTTTATAAGCCCTACAACTTTCTTTTGAACATCAGCAACCAGTGTTTTGATCTCACTGTCAATAGTTTTGTTTTCTTTTTTCGAAAAATACATAAATAATAAACAAGAAATCCCCTCTTGTGCTAAGGACGTAGCATGACAAATATGATTAATTGAGGGCATTTCTGTATGTAAATGAACGGACATAAGCTCCTGGGTGCACACCGGTGGCATTTATCATCAGACGATTGTGTAGGAACGTGCGTACAAGAGGCCATTGCACGTTTCATAAATCAGGAGTACATCCTAAATTTGATTTCTAGGAAGGAATATAGGAATGTTCGTATGAATGTTTTGATAAACGAGGCCCCATTGACAAAGCTGAAGCAGTACCGGGGCTGGATCTTTCAACTAGACAACGTCCCTAAACACTAATCAAAATTTACTAAGGCATTTATGTAGAGGGACAAGTACAACGTTCTGGAACGGCCATCTTAGTCCCCAGAGCTGAATATTATTGAAAATCTGTGGTGTGAATTAATGAGAGCTGTCAATGCTCAGAAGCCATCAGGCCTGTATGAACAAGAGATGTTTTGTAAAGAAGAATGGTCCAAAATACCTTCAACCTTTTGGAGACTGTAAGCTACTTTTACACGATACAATTGGGATCTACAGTTGTCTTTCAAACTGTCTCCGCATGTTATTGGGAAACAAACAATGTGACGTACTCACTACTACGGATGTCAGTCAATGAGGCAGTCTGCCATACTCTGTCAAAGAAGACGCAAATACATCCTTTTCCTAAATAAACTTAAGTACCTCTCATTCCTGTATATTCACCCAATAGGGCTCAGAGATCCCTTGGAAACAATCAGCGGGTAGAACCATGGGTGAGAACAAAAGATGAACAAAACTAAGTCAAGAGATGGCATTTCATGTACCAAGAGCTAGCTTTTGTAGCTGAGGATCAGACCTCCAAGGTCCCTGCC